AAGCAGGTTTTACTCAATACCAGAATGCAAACTAGAAAAAAAACGGGCAAATGACAATTTCGTAGGTGGTAAAACAGAACTATGAATAAATCTGAATTGGATAATGAGGCTATGTAGGATAAAATAGATAACAGTATAATTCGCAATAAACTTACGATGAAAGCCATTAGTGGAGACGGTTTATCGTTTAAAATATAATGTTAATCTATAGTTTTACGAGGAAAACCTTTTGTATATGCAGGTAAGACTTGATAGGATTGAGGCTATGTTGGGTGAAAAACTGCGACAATAGATTTCTGCTTTATGACAAATCGCAGAAACACGACAGGAAGCGAAGAAGACTTATGACAAAAAATAGAAAATTTCGAGAGGTCTACACTGGAAAACTGTGCAAGGGATTAAGAAATTGAATCCAAAAATATAACTTTCACTTATCTTTTCAAAATCGTGCTGCGCGCGTTGACCTTGACCGACCCAGTCAAGGGAAGCGGTTAAACATAAATCCGACCGGCAGTGAAAAAAAACTCCTGAACTAAAGGGATAAAAATATAGTTGATGGTGGTTTTTATGGTTTGGAGGGCTCAGGAGAAAAAACTGCCGGCGGTGGTAGAATATCGACCGTCAAGAAGGGGAGGAGGTTGCACGGTATCGGAGATTATCGGACGTCAAATTCCTTTCATGAAGTTGGGGATAGCCAAAGTAGAGGCGTTGAGGAACAGCTGGTGAGACCGGCCATAGTGTTCAGAGACCAGAAACGCCATCGCTACGGTACAGTCGATCAGTGGATTCAGAACCCAAAATTTGAGGAAGCTTTTCTGAATGCAAAAATCGAGTGATGGTTCTGTTGAATAAAGGAAAATTTTTCAGAGTTTTCACACTCATGGGTAGTTTATTCCAAATAGCAATTGCATTTACAGAAAAGAACCAACGATATTTAGCAGTACGTGCCTGAGGCAGAAATAAGAAGACCTCACGGTGACTGTTACGTCGTGGGTGGATATGATGTGTTAGAGAAGTGAGTGGGTTAAATGTGTGATTATATAAGAGTTTAAATAGCAAAAATAGTCCCTTTTGTAATCTACGGAACCATAAAGGATCGAGGCCTGTAAGCCGGCAACGTTCTTGGTAAGACAAATGTCGGTGTTCCGGGGTTAAAATTCTATTGGTAAAAAAGTGTTGAACGGATTCTATTTTCTTCCGCTCAGTAGCATGCATGAGGCTAAATGAAAACGAACAGTATTCCAGACCAGGTCTAACGTACATGTTGAAAAGGCGCATTCTAATGTCCCTAGTTTTAAAATTTCGGAGGATAAACCCGGTCGTTCTGCGTGCTTTGGAGACTATCAAGGCACAGTGCTCCGAGAGATTGAGACTTTTGGAGTATGATATGCCCAGATCTTTTATAACCCTGGGCACATTTATGGAGTGACCTTCGATATTTAGTTGAGGTTGGTGGTCGTCGCCAACCACCATGACTGAGCACTTATGCCAAGAAAGAGAAAGGCGCCATGTGCGGCACCTCTGGGCGAAAGCCTGTAGATCGCTCTTTAGGAGCTCAAGAACGATGTCACGATCTGCCGGCTTATATCGATATGCAACTTTAAGATCATCGGCATACATGAAAGGCTTGCCATTCTGAAATAAATGGGGTACATCATTAATGAAAAGGCAAAATAAAAGCGGGCCGAGTACACTTCCCTGAATGACTCCACTCCTCACACATGTGGGATTGGAGATAGTATTGGAAATCTGAACTCGTTGTGTACGAGTGTCCAGGTAAGAGGATATAAAATTCAAAAGTTTGCCAACTATTCCGAAAGAGGACAATTTCAAGAGAAGAAGAGCATGGTCAACACGGTCAAAAGCCTTAGTGAAATCGAAATATACTGTGCAAAGAGCAAAACCATGGTCCCTAGATTGGAGAACATAGTCAAAGAAAGAGAGTTGACAGGTGTCACAAGATCGAGCTTTGAGGAAACCATGCTGAGCAACATTCAGTAAGTCATTCGCTGTTAAGTGACACATCATCTTATCTTTGATCAATGTCTCTAAGATTTTCGAAACTGCGGGGAGGGTGTTTATTGGCCGAAAGTCATCAAATGATGTAGATTTGCCGTGCTTAGGAATGGGCAAAATGTGTGATTCCTTCCACAATGTAGGATAAGTTTCACTTTAAAGAGCGAGATTAAATATCTTGCATAAGAGGGATGGGAAAATCGTGTTTGCATCGGCTTTTAAAATGCTTACTGGGACACCATCAGAGTCTGGACTATAAGAGCGAACGTTATATTTTCTAGAGCTGCTCCGGTCAATTACTCGACGTATCTGACTGTCGCAGTAACGATGATATAAGCAGAGTCAACAGCAGTTCGGGCGACAGTATTGCCAACAGTAGTATTGGTATCAACGACAAATGGGAAGAGGATAGAGGCATCTCCGAACGATTAACTGTATCCATACTGCTTTGTCCGTCAGTATAACAAACATGACAATGGGTTTGTCTCGCTTCTCACGATCTCTCAGCAAGAGTTCCGATTCCTTCAGTTCATCGTGTCCTTCACGAAGTGAGATATCCTCTCTAATCAACTTTTCAGAAAAGCGATTGGGTCATAGTGACGCCTACGGTTTGGGTGGCCCCTGCTTTGCCCTCCACAGGCCCTCCACAGGCCCTCCACAGGATTCTATTCTACCCGCTGGAACGTCGGGATCTCACACCAGGTCTACCACCAGCCAGCATCCTCAGACGCAATTTAATGATGCTTCGCTCTCGCTCGCCGGCTCACCTTTATGATTTCATCTTGTCCTCAGGAAAGCCCACCTTGTCCCTCCATGTCACTTCTTGAATTAGTGTTTTTCTTCCTGAACATTTTTCAAAAGTGCGGGTCCCCTGAACTCATCCCTAAGTTTTAAGTTAAGGCGTTTTTTTGCTACTTCAAAACTTTGCCTACTTTAAACACCGGAATTCCGAAATTTTAATCTTCTTCCGGCTGCTCACATAGAAGATTACTGTGTACACGGTTAATCTTTTGCCAAACGACTAAGTGCTAAATTTTGTTTGGACGGTGCATATTGGGGCTTAAAAATAAAAATATTACTGCTATTATTAACATTCTGCCTTGTATCAGCTATGTCAATAATACTTTTGCACAAATCGTCGACAGGAACGTTGGCATTGTAAATACATATGCCCGTCGAATGGTCAACTATCCAAGTCTGGACGTCGTAAAGCCACCGGATGTAGCAACACTTGTCATTTAGAAGATTGCAGCAGTTGTTAGTTACTTATGCGAAATACCCCACTCCGAATAAGTAAAACCCTGGTATATTTCAAACTGTAGCGTGGGCTTCCACAGAGGAACATTTTGATAATCAGATGATCTTGTTGGCGGGGTTGTTGCCCATTGACCTGATTGCCCACTGTCTTTCTGTTTCACACCTAATTATCCACCTCGAGTTCCCAATATGTGCAAATTCCTAAAGAAAATCGTCTTGAAATTCTTAAATTTGTAAATTTGAGACTGGGCTACTCAATTTAGACGCCGACTGATTTCGAGAATGTTAAGCGATTGAATTGTTTTACTCTCCCGAAAGTAAGCCACACATTCGAGCCCTCGAAGAGGTAGAGGATTGGTGTCAAGGTTTTTCTGTTTGGTTTTTTACTGTATTGGTGTTATCAGAAGGTATAAGGCTTGTTGATACTAACATGGGGTCGAATTAAGTTGGAAGCCTTACTTCTTCGGATTTCGCAGCCTCATCTATAAATTAGGTATACTTGACAGGTCTTTGGATCCAAAGGCCTGCACAGGGCGTATTTACATAGCCTGTGCTACTGGAGTGCTGCATGCCATAGAAAGTCCTGGGTGTATACCGTCAAACGAATTTTAGGTTATTCGCGTCTTGAGTTTGACACGAAGGTTAAACAAGATGTGCATTGTCTTTATTCAACAAGCTTTTAGTGGGTCCCTCAAACTTTATAGTCTTATTTACGATGTTAATTTTTTGAGACGATTGATTTGTAACGCCGTTATTCGAGACAAAACAGAGCGTAGACGCCATAGCAGTGTACCCAGGGACTTCAGTCGCTCGTCTGATTGGATTCATTTATCCGTTACCTAGGTAAAATGAAACTTCCTCACTTCGGTTCTCCATGGGAGTACCGGACTGAGAATAGACTGAATAAAGTTGTTAGATAAGCTACCGTACTCATTCAGATGAATAAGGTAGAAGGAGATTTAGTTGAATGTAAGAGATGTACTTTTAGCAGAAATGGAATTCGAACATATAAAACGACCACTGTTATTAAAAAAGGCGGATACATACTCGAGAGTTCCAGGGTGATAATCTCAGAAAGACAAATTGTTAGCCGAAACAGATTTCTCGCATGCTGGCGTTTCTCAGAACTTGGTGGGTTCTTCAATGTCAAAGAATTTAGTCCCGAGAACCGGCTATAATTTTAAATAACTGACCGAGTTAGTCGGCCCTGAACTGAGGAGTTTTTACTTCTCGGTGCCTTAGCCAATTGGCAACTTTTTAGTGGCTTGGCGGCCGCCTACTTTACGCGTCATCACGTCGATGAAGGAAGGTTGAAATTCTTCGTCCCCTTCGGGTGAGTTTGTCGTGGGATCGTGCCTGCTCGGTGTGACCATCTTACTTTGGTCCTTATGCGTATAGTGGCGCGGGACTTTATAAGCCACCTGAATATCTAAATGCTTGTTGACAGAGTTACCACCTGAATTCCATGTCTCAAGCGTGGGTCGTTCTGTTTTTGAGGTGCCTCGGTCTAAGATGGTCCTTTATTGAAGGGCAGGAGTGTGGCCAGTCTTTGATATGTGCGGCAGGCTGTGAGTTCGGGTCTAGCCTCCGAGTTTCCAGCTTATGCTCATGTAAGCGGGTCTCCAACTCTCGCTCGGTTTCTCTGGCGTAGTTGCGGTCTCCACCATTGCAACATATTTGGTAGACAACCGCCGGTTTTCGGTAGATGACAGCCTGTTCTTATGTTGAATCGCACGACCAATTGTTGCCTGGGATCGGTGGACTATGCTAACTCTGGCGTGTTTTAACATTAGAGAGACCGCCTCGGTGACCCGTTTTATGTAGGGAATGGGCCTCCTGATTTCATGTTGCTGATCTTTTGATTGTCGTTTATTCACGTGGCGCTTGCGTGGCCAGATGAAATATCTCCGAAGAGATCATGAAAGTGTAGTCATCTGGATAAGTTGTGATACCGTCACGCCCGCTTAACCACCGGCGGAATGTGCAACCTCGTGTCCAACTACAGAGAGGACCCTGGAGGATACTGATTTGTAATGAGATACCAAGTAAGTCTGCAGCGAACGTCGGTAGGAGGGGATGTCAGCAGTTGTGCAGGAAGGGGTACCGGACATCTTTACCAACACACGATCATACCATTCCTATCATGGATCCACGCCAAAGGCGTTCGAACAGTCTAAACAGCTCCGTCAGATTTGATTGTGCACTACACCTGTGTAAATCATATTCTTATAAACAGGTCAATACAACCATTAGATTGGCCTACATTGGACACTATCGTACGCTTGTCGGCCGATCTTGCTCGAGAATGACGCCCAGATTTTGGACAGGCACACATTCTAGAGCTCTGCCATGCCGTTTTCAGCCACAATGTAAGTAGTTTTCCGTCTGCCCAAAAGACTTCTGCCGCCCCCCTTCCAAGTTTCGGGGAGTTTTCAAAAGATGTGCGACTTGTTAGTCGGACACCAAACATGCAGGGCAGAGCTGTTTTGAAGTCATCACAATCAGTCTTGTGACCATAGGTTGTGGAACAGGGTGTGTTCTACGACATCGAAGCAACTGAACTCAGCCTGACAGCATTATATTACCCCTCTATAGACTTCCGTAAGACCTATAAAATTGCGGAAAATTTCTTCCAAAATGGCTACCTTAGCACTTTGTCATGTTATATCGTCTGTAATTTATTGTTGAATTTCACAGTCATGGCTTTGGATCACATTCTGTCTCTTAAGCTTACATACATGCTCAAATTTCCTCCCGAATGTTTCAGTCAGACGCATTCTGTTTTCGATTCTCACATATTTGTCTGCCTTCTAAAGTTTCAGCATGTCATATTTTCAGGAACCAATATGCCACTCCTCAGGGGCGGTCGTTACGCTGTTACGCGCACCAAAAAGTACCTAGATGCGGGACGCATAATATTTAGAGACAATATCAAGGTTTTGACCATAAACACCCTCTCAAAAGGCGAGATCTCGGAGGGCGCCCGCGAATTCATTCGCTGGTACCTGCCCCAGCTGCAGTACAAGAATCCATCAGTACAGGTGGGTCCACATGACCGCCTTCAGTTACCGCATCCTTCTCCCATAGATTATTACATTCCAAGACATCTGCCCCACCCCATCGCTACAGTTCTATCTGGCTGATGGACGCGATTACACCATGGATTGCTCCTTTCGCTCAGCTGACAGTATCGAGGCCCATATTGCTCGAGTCTGTGCGAAGACCTCCGAAACACTAAAGATGGAGGAAGTAGAGAAACAACAATTGGTCAATCCAGCCAACTTTGGCACAAAGTATGTGGCAAAGGGTTTATGTACCAGCGCTTTCTTTACCACTCATTTGTCTGGTGTGACTTTTTTTTATAAGCAGCAAATCCCACCACCACACAGTTTTTGTTTGCTTGCGATACCGTCGGCAATTTCTCAGTATCCTCGTTGCCGCCTCGACTGTCATAAATGATGGCTCAGCGAGTCACCATGTTCGCAACTCGCCGCTCGGTATGTGGTCGTTATATGAGGACTTGGGAATTCTAAGTAGGGCGATTTGTTGCTACATTATGGGCTTTGACCACACAGGGACTTCGTAAAGTACCATTTGATCTGAAAGCGAACGCGTCATGCCGTCATGCTTGTATAAGAGCAACTAAACTCTCGCACTGCCATATATTGCCGAACCATGGCTGTCTGTCGCCTATGAATATCCAGCACCATTCCGCCTAATGCGATTCCTTTTAGGACGAATAAGCAACGACTGAACTGACACTCGCAACCTGCCCAACATGCTGATCTTGGGAACTTTAGGCTGCGCCTGTCTAACTGTGCTCTTTTTCAGCGCGTCTCCCCGTGGGCTGAGTGAACACCCTCTAGTACTTTTTCGCTTTACATAATCTCATATTTCGCACGGCATTTTGTCTTCTATATGTTTCTGTTTCCTCCCAGGTACCCTCGTCAGTGCATGTGTGAGGTGTATGGTCAAGCACCCTGTTCCTCACAACAGGGCAAACCAAAACCCTGGCCAGGACAGGAGCCCACGTATCCACCTCATGCGGAGACATCTTGAGTCAAGTCAAAGTGGTCCCACGGGGAAGGAAAGCTGTGGACTTGATTTGGTCAGCTGTACATAACTACACTTAGCCGTTTGCGTCTTCCTCTCATTCCTGCTCTTAACTAAGAATGGAAAAGCTTTGTCAGCAGTGGTCGGAATTTGGTCAGCTTTTGCAGCCGTCAGCAGTAGTGAACCTGATAGTAAGGAGTATATTCTGTGAGTTGGAGTAGGGTAGAGACTCCCGCCGCAGTTTATTTCGCCTTTATTTGCGCCTAAGAGGATGTGACCTCCGGCCGCCGCCCGAACGTTCTCATGTGGTGTGCTCTGAAGTAGGGAAGTCGTACCGGCATGGAGTGGGCACTTTTTCTTATTTGATGCTGTCCGTCGATCATATTTTTTGACTGGAGTCCAAAGGTAAAACTCGGCGTTTTTACTTTGTTTGTTATGGACACACACGACGGACCACGATGGAGATGCGTCGGCCGAAGGCCCGGACCGGCTTGGGGCATGAAATTCGTTAGCCAGCTCGCACATCCCATAAAAGATGTAACGCCTGGGAAGGGTGTATGGCAGCACGCCTAGGCGCGGGCTACAGGTTGCGCCAGCCAATTTGTAGCCAATACTGACACCAGATGACTAGGAGAGGGAAGAGAGTAAGGTGGACTCCGGTGACTGCATACCCACAGCACCTCAGCGTGTTCTCCAGCAATGATGAATCTGACTCACTCTAGTCCATCACGACGCGCCAAAAGTTGTAGCTTAGAAGATTACCAAATGACGAGCTAACTCGACCGCCATAGTAAATACTAGGTGTGTATGTGAGGTGACAGGTTGAAGGCCTGAGGTTACTTTTAAATGTGGTCCCTCTGTTGGTGCCGCTTAGGTGAAATCCGACCCGACCTCCATCTTTTGTGAAAATCTGGTCCATTGTCCGAGGACTGGGTTTTCTATGGCACGCGTTGTTGGGCTGTTTAGCTTTGTCAGGTACTGTGCCCGAGCCGGTCGTTGATCGTCTTGACTCCGTCTCGTCACCTGGCGAAAGGGCGAGAGTGCGACAGATCCTGTGCAAGTCGCCGTCCTGCTCCCACTACGACGTGGGACACACGGTGGATATCGCCGTTCGCTGCAGCCGAACCGTCGTGCTAGGGTGGTGTTTTTGACCACTAGTACGCTCTGATAGTCTCGTAGCACCGTTCCGCTGGGACTGCGGCCCGTAACACATTTGCCCCGGTTTCTTAAATGCGATCTCCTTGTCTTTATCAATTTACCACACAAGTGCCGATTTCGCATACCGATCACGATGCTCCCGATCCGTGCCTGCAGGGTATGGCGGGAGATGGGGCTAGTTAGAACGGCTACCGACAGTACATAGATACATGTCTACTCCACCCAAAGGGCCAGTTCTTCATCCTTCCGTGTGGACCCAGGTTTTGATTTCCGGTTTTCCCGACAAACGCTCTTCCACAGACTCCTAGTCAAGATGAAGAGGACGCGGTCACGGACAGGTCGATGGTGCTTGAGCGGCTGCTTGCAGTTACCTTGACATGCGCTTTATTTGGCCACTTTTCTGTAAGCGGGGAATGTGTTCCCTGTTTAAATTTGGTGTCAGGATATGGATAAGCCGGTCGCAAAATGTTGTCATAAAGGGCATGACAAATTGCTTACTAGAGGCCATCGCCTCTTTATCGATCATGGAGGAGCTTGTCTATCATCACCGCTGTTGCTGTTATTGCCTCCGCACTGGTCGACTGCATTCCACTGACCTCTATGCTGCTGAGAAGGCCTCCGAGAAACCATAGTAAGTGGCTGAGCTTGTTGCATCTCTCCGACTAGGAGGGTTTCGCTCGGATTTCGATTGCTAAAAATACCATAGGGGTTTCATGTTGATCGCTTACAGTAGTTTTTAACGACAAAAGGACTGCAGTTCGAGTGCAGGGGTTGAGGTCTGGTCGGCTGACGGCGGTAAGCCAGAAATCATTCCCTCATCCCTGCCGTCCTCCCCCCTTCTCGACCGAAGTCGTTCGTATTTAGTCTCGCAACCAGGACAAATCGATGACTGCCATTCGCATGTAACCATGCATAAAGATCAAGCTGCTTCATGGCCGAGGGTAAGACCTAGTTGGTCTTCTTCAGGACCTTATTTTTAATTAGCGCAGGCGGATATCGGCTGCCACTAGCCCTAGCAACCACTGTGAATCCTCGAGGGTGGCACATCCCATTACTGCTGAATGCACTTTGCCTTAACCGGTAAGGGAAGGGTCTCTCATTTAACAGCACCCCTAACTGATAGAGTATTTAAGGTGCAATGCTCGTTCTTCGTCTGGTACCCATGCTTTCTAGCCATGTCGTCCGTCGCAGTGTGAGAGATCGAATTAATGGTAGAGGGGCGCTCACCGATCGTTTCCATGCAACTCACTCGTCCCGTAGGACCTTACGGACTCTCTCACGAGCCCAGCCAGCAGCCGCACAGCGGCGCATGATATAGGCAAAATGGTGTTACCGACAAAAACAAGGGGGACTGCGGTGGCCGTTTCTGGCTTATTAGCTGTCGTCAGCCCGTGATACCCAACCCCGAGGCGTGGAACATCTGTTTTTAAAATACACATACTAATACCAAGGAGTGAGTAGCATGCATTTATGAAATAGGTTATGTGATGGCAGTTGCTAGATAATTAGGCGGAACCTTCAGATACGAGCCAGCAAGCATAGGATAACAATACCTCAAACTTATACGTAGAATAGAACGGAACTCATGACATGTGAGACAAAATAGCACCAATTCTAGGGGATCTAGATGTTTCATTATGGAAAATTCGATAAACGAGATATTTGCCAAACGAAACACTCGTCGAGAATGCATTGGGCCGGAGTAGACGCAGTATAACAGTTTTGAAATAATCTTCAACGAGCAATTACAACCAACAGGTTCGAATACAATCATCAATGGAACGGCCGATAAGGTGCAGGGACGTAATGGAATTCTTATGGGGGATTTGCCCACCCACATTAGATGATGTAACCTATGAGGCGTGATGACCGATTGGCTCGTTAGACGTTCAGCACCTAACATATTTACACAACCCGTACCGGAAAATGACATTTTCACGTGCAGAGCATGCTTTTGAACACTTCTGTCAAGAAAAAAAGTTAGGTCAGTATATTTTAAGAGTAATAGACAATGCCTTTAAATAAACATGCTACTGAAATGTTGTCAGTAATATACACATTTAACAGAATATTTCCGTGCAAATGTCGAACCAAAACTTGAGAACATTCAGTTGTAAATGATTTCAGTAAAATGTAATGACAGTCATCCGCATTAGCGGTATGAGTATGCAAGGCGTTGGTTTAGCACCACAGAGCTGTTCTGTCCAGTGTTACACATGAGAGCGAAAACCGATGTTCTTTTGTAATCAGCTAATTTATTCACTTTTCATGGATCGCATCACTTTCTGTACTAATGACTCCTTAAGTTCGTGTACAGGGGGACACGGTGCTGCAGTGCTTCGAATAAAGCGCAATATCCCTAAGGCTATATGGTTTGGCAAAGATTCATAAACCAGACCATCCGATGCTGCCGATATTAGGCATAAGTAATTGCCCCTATCATGCAATTGCCAAGTGGCTGGCAGAAAGACCTAAGCCAATTCGACACAGAACAGCAGCAGGCAGTTTACGGGACACAGTCGAATTCGTCGACTGCATAAGGCATACAAATCTTGGGGGGAAAACTATATTGTCCCAAGACGTCGTGTCTTTGTTCACTAACATTTCTCTGACGGAAACGATAGAGTTCTTATGTGACGAGATTGTGTGTCTCAATTTCCCCATCGGAATGCCGGTCGGAGACCCAATGGAACTGCTCTTACGCTGCACATTAAATGTCCATTTCCGATTCGTCGATCAATTTTATCGCCAGAGCAATGACCAGCGATGGGATCACCCCTTGGACCACTACCAGCTGATGTCTACATGGGAAAACTAGAGGAAGCCCAGCTATGTCCACTTATAAAGAACCTTTATTCGTATGCTGGATGTGTTGATGAGATTTTTGCAATGGCGGTTAAAAAGCCTGGTTTGAACACCCTCCTGCATAAAGCGAGCCAAGCTCCCCTAGCCTTAACCTCCACCTTGGAAAAAGAGAACGGAGAGTGCCTCCCCTTCCTGCACGTCCTACTTTATCGAATGCCGAATCGAGCAATTAGTAGTAGTGTACTTCGTACACGCATTTCTATAGTTTTGTGCCACCAAGCCAAAAACGAACCTAGGCCCGCTGCCTCATCAGCCGAGTTAGGTACATATGCACTCCGTATACGCTTGGGAATGAACTCGCCATTAAACAAAACACTGAGAAAACGACCATCTTGAAAAGTTTAGCAACAAATATATGGAAGAACGCACCCAAAAATCTGATATGTCAGTGACTGAGAAAAAGGAGTTATTTATCGCACTACTATTTCGATGGAATCCAGCCAGCGACTAACCGAACCCAATTTTGTGCTCGCATAAAGCGTTTGTACAGGTGCTAAGTCCCCCATGGGCGCAGACAAACCCAGCATAAGTGTTCATACCCGCCACGTCGCGTTACAGCGATGAAACAGGCACGGCTAGTAGACAGACACCACTCCCCCCCCTCCCTAAACTCCTGACATAAATAGAATCTGACCCCCCCGACCCTCTCCCCCATACCACTTTTTATTGGCTGTTTGACTTTTGCTATTCTGCCCTCCCTCATATTACTGTACAAACCTGATGATGAATAATCAAAAACTTACGTTTTCCGGACTTGACTTCCTGAATTTTAATATACTACTCAATATATATTAGTAGTATTTATTTTTAAATCTTCACTGTTTGACACGGCGCATTCACATCACCCTCTCACCAACTTCATCGGCAGTACTTGGATACCCACGGCTATAGTTTGCATACATTCGTCGGTGGCGAAAACGAAAGTGCCAGCCGACAGTTGACGCAGTTAAACTGCGGACTTCTATAGCTGCTATAGTTTTATTGGGCTTGTACTAGCGGGCTGTAAAGAAGATGGTGGTCGGATAGAGATACTAATGATACTTGCAGCAGCAGCTTTATTCGTTTATTTTGACACGCCAAAGTTTGATATTATTATAGGAAGATTTAGCCCAACTGAACTAGAAGATTCTACACATTTCAATGTCGCCAAAGTTGATGAAAGTTAAGTTTAGACTAAAAGTGTCATAATAGATGCTGACTTAGGGCAATGCTATAGTGCAGAAAGCACTCAGTCAATGTCCAATTTTTAAGTAAAAAGAGTTCTCCAAAGGACGATGTAGATGCGTAGCTTAAGTATTCAATTAAAATCCATAAGACTGGCTGGTCGAGAACAGAATCACCAACATACTTATCCACGAAAAGATAATCTGTGACCCAAGATTTTAGAGGAAAGTTGGAAATAGAATCTGGATGTGGACTTCATGAACGTCATGCCCATTAAGAAGAGGGAAAGGAATGGATCTGACGGCATGATTTCCGTCATTAGCCATAAGTAGATCTTGAGGGTGAAGACTGGTTTAAGTGAAGCAGTTGGTACAAAAGGTATGATAAGCATGTTACTCCACTGGAAGTCAAACTGTTGAAACGTGCGAAGGCGGCAGCCTGTAAATACGGTTACATCTAATTGGCCATTGACAGGAAAACTATAGTAGCCCCACAGACTGCGACGGAGGCCAATGCTGTTCCGAAATTAACCCCGGCAGTTCGACTGCACTTATAAATGATATCCATTGTCTGGCCAACAGTAAATTGACTCGGGCGCTGTGACTTGCGAGTGAGTTAGCATATAGTAACAGTAAACCTGCGCTGAATCTGACACATTCTACTCCTCCCCAGATGGGTCCGGTGTTAAGGCAGAGTCAAGAGGAGCGGAGGCAATGGCTGACAAAGCTAAATGGTCCGTCAACGCGTGGCGCGCGTGTCTGATCCACGTACGACTGACTGGGTATTAACGCAAAGAAGAGAAGGACGGTGCGTATATCGTCTGAGTAGGAGCGCTAAAGAGGCCGATCGATGAAAGAATTGTTGCAGCCCGTCAATGCGTCCTGAGAGGAGGACCGATTTATCATGTCAGTTGGCAGTCTCCCAAGCCTCCGAACTTAACACTTCGTGATCGTTTAGAAGAGCATCAGCTTGTTTATAGGGAGGGAATTGAGCTGAATTAGTCGGCCAGGTACCAACCCGCTGTCCGAACTGGCCAGTCATCTGACACAGGTTTGGGCGCAAGCGTCTGGTAACGCCGAAAAGCCCGTTTGTGCGTGCTACGCACAACGTTGCCTCCCGAAACACACAGCGGAGAAGGACCGATCCCGTCATCGACAGTTCGACCGTCGGGTAAAAATCGGGAGATGGCACCCAAAAAAATCCGCCTAACCAAAGCAGCCTATCTTACGGGGCAGGTGGTAATAGGGGTTTTATGGATGGTGGCCGGTCGGGATGTACGATACTAGCCGACTGAAAGGCTTATTTGAACAGGTGAATGATCGAAGTTTGCCCGCTCTCCGTTCCGTTATTACAAAATGGGTCGCCAAAGCAGTATAGTGGTAATGGATGAGTGGAAGGCGTATAATCGTCTTCCCTCAGAAGGTTATCTACATTCCTCAGTTAACCACTCAAAGAACTTCAAGGACCCTACCACCGGACGGCACACCAATGCCATTGAGGCATACTGGAGTAGACTGAAAAGGAAACTCCACGAGGGAGGCCCTGTATGTGGTCGAGCTGTGTGGGCTCACATAGACAAAGTACAGTATCGTCTTTGATTTGGCCTTAATGCCATGTCTTTGACAGATGCCTGGAAACTGTTCCTGTCCCATGTTGTGCAGACTTATCCTATTTAAAAGTCAGGTTGTTTTGTAATAAACTGCCATAATGCGAATGTATGCCGCATATTCAGGTGTACGTGTGTAACGATGGGGAAGGTTGGGTAACAGCAACCATCGTCCATGTAACCTCCTGCGATGTTCATTCGGCCAGCCCGTGTTAGGCTGTCGCGAAAAGTCCAAGTAGTGCGTGAAAGTAGGCTTGCAACCGCTGATATAGCCTGAAGGCGTTTGAGTCCACTGTTAAAGGTATTATTTCGGATTTTTTGGATGCCATCTCCCGATTGTTACCGACCGTCGTTTCCGACGATGTCCACGGAGTGCCACAAGGCAAGGCGCAGCGAATACGGCGATTTGTGCGTGACTTAGTCTGTAATGATAGTCAACTTGCACAGCATCTGCCGCACTCACCCTTCCCCACCTCATGCCTGCACCTGGTGTCAAGACAGAAGCAACAAGACTGGAGGCGAGGGAGGGCGCGGGTGGCTGGCATGGCCAAACCCGCACCTTAGGCGTCCCACCACATCTCCTGAACCACAGCATACACCTGACCAGGATTTTCACCACCAACAACACCCCAAGAGGGGTCAGAAGGACGATGATGACCGTGCAGCCACGCCGTCAATCTGCGTACCCAGCGGGAGCACAAGCGCATCTACCGGTAGGGAACCAGGGAACCTCGACAAATTCCGTTATTATAATACTACTTGCTATATTTCAGTAACATTTTAAATTGAATGTATTATTGTGCCAACCCATCGCCTACGCTTACTGACATGCACATATGCAAATTTTGTCACCGGATATATTATTTATTTCGCTGCACTCGAAACGACAGCTCTACAACTGCTCGTACCACTAAAATTCGAGACAGTTTGTTTGTCTGTACAGACCTGACGCTTTTCCGATTACTTGCTCCTTTATGATACCTTTTCGAGTTTTTTAGATTTTGCAGTTGTTTGTAAACAAATAGGGAGTTCAAAGGTGAAGACCTACATTTCCCTCAATAAACTGAACTGAACTGCCAGCATATAGCAGGTTGCCAGGGCCATAGTTTGCATTACACACGCTTTCATACCTTCTGACCTAGAAAAGCGACACGTGGCCCTACATTTAGCCTGGGCCGTCACACTGCAAGGTCGGGTAATCAAACAGTCGTCGACTGAGAGGCACCACCCATAAAGCACACACGCAAAAACAAACACTCTCCTCACATGCATAGGTGTCAAAGATGGCCTAAGAAGGAGCCGTGACAGCCCGTCTTTTAGCCCACCAGTCCGCCACTCCACCGACACAGACACGATAGTTCGACCATCGATTTCGATCATGTCCACCGTATGCCCCACAGTTGCAGCAGCGGTGGGAGCAGGGACGGTGACTTACGCAGGGGTTTATAGTGCCAGTAGACTTGTGCTGCATCTACCACATTCCCTCCTCCCCCGCCTGAGCCCGGTGGCAAGACAGAGTCAAGAAGACCGGAGACGAGGGAGACCGCAGGTGGATGGCTTGGACAGATCCTCACATTGGTGCTCCACCACATCCCCTGGTCCACACAACAGATAACCAGGATTTTGACCAACACAACAGCGATTGGAGGCTGGCACGTCCGCCAACGCCTGGCTCGGATCCCACACAGTGGGAGTGTCATAAATGCCACATTAAGAAGGAGCCATTGCAGCCTGACTCTCAGATCTCCAGTCGAGAAGATCTAAGTTATCCCGTCAGTTGGCAACCTTCCAAGCCACGGCTTTTAGCGCACTGTGATAGTTTCAAGCGCGTCAGATTGTTTATAGTGAGGAGGAAGTACGCTGAGTCGTCGACCTCACTCTCCCTTCCCATTCCCACAATCCAGCCGCTGTCCGTGCCGGCCAGCAGACTGCAGTGGGGAATGGGCGCGGTGGCTGGCATGGTCGACTGGCCATGTCTTCGTGCGCCATATGCACGACCTGGCCCCCCAGAAACACACACACGCACACATCAGGATTTCGCTCAACGGGGGTTGAACGGTGTGTCTCTTACTTGCGTGAGAGGGCCGTGGAAGGTGCTGTTTCAGCTCGTCTCTCAGCCCACCAGTCCGCCACAACACACACATACACACACAACGAACGGACTGCTTGGACCGGGTGGGGGCGTCAATCAGCAGCGTTCCTATCCACGACGCTTGGCGTGTGGGGATAGTCTCAGACTCAAGTCGCCCGCACAGCCGAAGCCGCATGGGGACGGAATCGAGATGCACACTTCCCGCTTGCGGGGGAGGTGGCAGTTGGGTGTTTGCGGGGAGTGAGTGTTGATGTGTGGTAGTGCGGTGGTGGTGTGGTGGTGTTGGAGGCAGGGACGGAGGGTGTGATTTTGTGGTGTAGCCGGCGGTTGTCTACCGCAGATCTTCGTGGATGCGCATGTGGCCGAATAGGCCCATACGATGGCTGAAAGTGCGAGGGCAATGTGGGCAGTGTAAGCGGGTGTGATGGGTTTAGATGGGTGCTCGAGGCACTGGTTCGCCAGTCTCTGTACGATGGGTTCGCAAGTGACCGACCAGGCCGATGCGAGAGGTGAATGCGCGTGGACAGTGTGGGCAGAAGAAGTCGGTGGTGTCGGTGTCGGCTACAGAGGAAGTGGTGTTGGTGGTGGTGATTGGCGCACAGGGTGATGAAGTGAGGGTGGGGCTGTGCATGGCGGATGTTTTGGATGTAGTGGGTGTGTCGGGACTGCGGTCACTTCCGCTCTCGTGGATGCGCATGTGGCCGAATAGGCCCATGCAATGCGTGAAAGTACGAGGACAATGTGGGCAGTTAAGTCGAGCGTGGTGGGTATAGGTTGGTGCTCCAGGCACTGGTTCTTCAGTCATACTGAGGCAAATGCAGCTGCGCTGGAGCGGCCACCTGGTGCGCATGGACGACGAGCGACTACCCAAACGCCTCTTCTACGGAGACGTCGCGACGGGTTCTCGTCGTCAAGGAGGCCAAATTCGCCGTTACAAGGATACTCTGAAGTCCTCCCTGAAGCGCCTGCAAATCAACCCGACCAACTGGGAAGAGCTCGCTCGCGATCGTCCGACATGGAGGAGAACAGTGAAGACGGGCGCTGCTATCTATGAAGCCAACCGAATCGCCGCCGCCAAAGCGAAACGCGAAGCCCGCAAATCACAACTTCGCCCAGTCCGCAACGCCGCCGCACAACCGCTCCCAACGTGTCCTCGATGTCAACGGACATTCCGGGCACGAATCGGACTTGTTGGACATCTTCGAACCAACTGCACCTCCCGAACTGCTCCAGCCATCGTCCCCCCGCCCGCCTCTTTCTCCTCTCTTCCGCCAACTAACTCTGACACTCCTTCTGCACCACCAATTCCATCCTCCTCGTCCTCGTCGTCCTCCTCCCTCTCCACTGCCCCAGCGGCGGCCGTTCAGACTGCTGTCTCACACATCACCAACACCAACACAGCAACCAACATCACCTCTCCCAACTCTCCCGATTCCAGTGATGAGGATCAGGACTACACCTGCCCTCACTGTGACCGCACCTTCACCTCACACATCGGCCTGGTCGGTCACTTGCGAATCCATCGCACAGAGACTGGTGAACCAGTGCCTGGAGCACCAACCTACACCCACCGCACTCGCCTCCACTGCCCACACTGCCCTCGCACCTTCAGGCATCGCATGGGTCTATTCGGCCACATGCGCATCCACGAGAGCAGAATTGACCACAATTCCGATACAGCCACGACATCCAACACATTCACCACGCCCAGACCAATCCTCGCTCCACCGTCACACGCGCCAATAACCACCACCGCCACCACCACTAACACCACTGCTTCCTCAACAGCTGACACCGACACCGCCGACCTCTCATGCCCACATTGTCCACGCACCTTCACCTCACGCATCGGCCTGGTGGGTCACTTGCGAATCCATCGCACAGAGACTGGCGAACCAGTGCCTGGAGCACCAACCTACACCCACCGCACTCGCCTCCACTGCCCACACTGCCCTCGCACCTTCACGCATCGCATGGGTCTATTCGGCCACATGCGCATCCACGACGACCTGCGGTAGACAGCCGCCGGTCACACCACACATTCCCTCACTCCCTACCTCCTAACACCATCACCCCACCAGACATCAACCCTCACACACCTCGTGCACTCAACTGCCGCCTCCCACGCAAGTGGGAAGTGTGCATCTCGACTCGGTCCCCATGCGGTTTTGGCTGCACGGGTGACTTGTGTCCAGGACTATCCCGACACGTCAAGCGTCGTGGATAGGAAGGTTGCTGATTGACGCCCGCTCTCGGTTCACGCAGTTCGTCGCGTTGTGTGTGTGTTGTGTGGAGTGGCGGACTGGTGGGCTGGGGACGAGCTGAAACAGCACCTTTCACGGCACTCTCACGCAAGTGAGAGACACGCCGTTCAACCCCCGTTGTGTGAAATCCTGGTGTTTGCGTGTGTATGGGGGGCCAGGTCGTGCTGTGGCGCGCGCAGGCATGGTCAGTCGACCATGTCAGCCACCGCGCCCATTCCCCACTCCAGTCTACTGACCGGCTCGGACAGTGGCTGGGGTGTTGGAATGGGAAGGGAGAGTGAGGTCGACGACTCAGTGCACCTTCTCCTGATTATTATCAATCTGACGCGCTTGAAGCTATCACGGTGCGCTAAAAGCCGTGGCTTGGAAGGTTGCCAACTGACGGGGTACCTTGGACCTCCTCCTTCACGGGAGGCGGTCTGAGAGTCAGGCTGCAATGGCTCCTTTTTAATGTGGCCTTTATGGCATTCCCACCACAGTGTGGGATCCGAGCCAGGCGTTGGCGGCACGCCCAGGTGCGGCTTCGGCCGTGCCAGCCTCCAAATCTCTGTTGTGTTGGTTGAAATCCTGGTTATTGTTGTGTGGACCAGGGGGTGTGGTGGAACGCCAAGGGGAGGATCCGTCCGAGCCATCCACCTGCGGCCTCTCTCGTCTCCGGTCTTCTTGACTCTGTCTTGACACCGGGCTCGGGCGAGGAAGGAGGAGGGGGTGTAGGTAGATGCTACGCAAGTCTACTGGCACTATAAACCCCTGCGTAAGTCACCGTCCCTGCTCCCACAATGCAGTCTGTGGGGCACACGGTGGTCATCGTCGAAATCGACGGACGAACTGTCGGTTCTTCAGTCTCTATGCGATGGATTCGCAAGTGACCGATCAGACCTATGCGAGAGGTGAATATGCTTGGCCAGTTTGGGCAGGTGAAGTCGGTGGCATTGACCTCAGTTGCGGAGAAGATGGTGGGCGCAAACGGTGCGCAAACACACGCACACAGACAACTAGACACGGACTGAGTTGGGGCGTCAGCCGGCTGTTCTCCGAGCCACGGCGCTCGACGTACAGACCTCGTCTCAGACTCTGATTACACATGCAGCAGGGAGCCAAGACGCACACATGTAGTACTGGACGGCCATTTTCCGTCGTGTCCGGTCGGCAGTCTTTCCAAACTTAAACACAATCTCTCTTACGTTGTATACACTTTTCCGTTCAGTTTCCACGTTCACATGAGGTTAGCTTTCCTTAAAACCAATTACAAGAGTGCCGCTGGTTATTGTCATTTTCAACGGAGTGGTATCATTTGGAGAAGGACTCGCATTTCGTCACCAAGTTTTATTCCCTTGCCTAAGCCTTGTGGATTTTTGCCTCTTTCAGATCGCTGTGTCCTGACAGACGAGTTGAGGCGCTGATCAGCCTCATTTTTGGGAGGATGACCAAACAATGATACGATCAGCGCACGCAACATGTTGTTCGTAGATTCATGGTCACCGCTATATAGCAAAAGAGGTGTTACGAATATATTTCCAGAATAGTATTACCGACAAAGACAAGGGAGACTGGAATGGCCATTTCTGGCTTATTAGCCCTCGTTAGCCAGCCATACCCGACAGGGCAACGGGCTCGTGGCCCGGTGGGTAGAGGCGTGGACTTCTAAACCAACAGGTCGTTAGTTCGAGGCTCGGGTGTTTCACACGTCGGGCTTGAGTATGGCTGGCTGACGACGGCTAATAAGCCAGAAATGGCCATTCCAGTCTCCCTTGTCTTTGTCGGTAATAGCATTCTGCCTATATATCATGCGCCGCTGTGTGGCTGCTGGTTGGGCTCGAGAGAGAGCCCTTAAGGCACAACGGAACGAGTGAGTTCCGTATGAACGATCGGTGAGCGCCTCCTACCATTGAATATATTTCCACCTGTTGAGTGGTTTATGCCGCAAGTGAAAGTTTGGCTGGATGAATACATTAAGAATAGTACTAAAGAGATATTCAATACGATCAGAACAGAAGAGATTAGATAAGTCAGACCTGGACCCCACTGACAGAGAAAGCAAGAGAGAATGTAGCGTGTATGAGCGTCCAAGTCTCGCATGCGGCATCGAGAAACTTTTTACCCGCCTATCTTTGCTAACATGAAGTAAACTCGTGGGGTAGGTGTGCGAGCATTGCTCGGTGAGGATCGGGAGAGGGGCCTTAAGTATCCCTGACATACAAAAAATACCTATTATACCTATTTAAATGGGTTTTAGTCCGACTCGATTACTTCAGTTTGGTGTTTCACTGTTCAAGGATGCGTCATCTGTTGTATACGGCCTGGTGCGTTATCTACAATGCCCTCAGCTCAGAGAGTTGAAAAGCGATTGTTGTAGACATTTAATGTGGTCAGATGTGGTTCTGTAGCCCCATCTGAAGTAAACAAACCTCAGCCACCTATAATAGGAGACCGGTGGTAATAGGTCATTTTCAATAGAAGCAAAGAGACGAGTCCCAGGAAGCCGTCTTGAAGAAGGAGACACGATCGCCGGGACAAGAACTTTATTAGCTTGACGTTTCGGATTCCTACTCGAATCCATCATCAGAGACAAAAAAGAGACACCCGTTTCTACTCTTTTGTCTCTGATGATGGATTCGAGTAGGAATCCGAAACGTCAGGCTAATAAAGCTCTTGTCCCGGCGATCGTGTCTCCTTCTTCAATAGGTCATTTTTCATATTTAGTTGGAAGATGTGCTGCGTCGTCGGTTGGTGTGAATGTTGCCGGTTCCGGGCGTTTAACAAGTCCTGCCCTGCCATCCTATCGACAACCGATTGCGTTCTGTGCCAAACGCGGACAAAGCAGGCAGCCGGACAAAAACTCCAGATTAAAGATACACTGTCTCCACCTTACTCAGGCGGCTACACAACTTATCTGCCTATCTAGTTAGAGGCTTGCCTCTTCATATTCTGCGCACTGTCAGCCAACTTAACTGTCAATATATTATCCCTTTTTTATAGTCTCCAAATGTAGACACTTTACTGATTGATAAAAGGAATGTGCAATGATGTCACACGCAAAAAAGTAATCGTTTGCAGAAACCGTCATAAAATGATATTTCGGTCGGATGTAGTTTGGTAGCCCCACCTGAAGTGAACAAGCCCCAGTCACGCCTAATGCGGGACCGGTGGTAATAGGGGTTTCTGCAGGTGGGGCGGGGGAACGTACAGGCGACGAGGTCAAGTAATTGTTTGCAAAAGAAAAGCTATTGGGGATGCGCGGTTGTACTTAGAGTGGTTAAGAAATAGTTGTCCTAACCCCCAACCCCAACAGTATTATGTTCACCAGGTGGGGCTACATAACCACATCTTATCCTAAATGTTTATTTTTTTTAATTGTCCTGCCTAATTTCGGTTGCTATATGTCAATGCAGCAAAACCTTCCCATCTGAAAACCGAATTTAACAATTATCTATACTTGTTCCGTCATTCCTCTATGCATACGCACGCCCCGCCCGTAAAACCCCTATTACCGCCGTTCCCGTAAGACAGGCACATTTGGCTGGTCGTGTGTGTTTGGCGTCCTTCACCCGATCGCTACTGATTAACTGATGAGGGTTCCAACCTCAGTTTCACCAGCATTTGATGCCGGGGTACCACCGTTCGCTACCATCAAATACGTTAAAAAGAACCGTTTGATTATTCAGGCATTTTGAACTCCATAAAAGGCATGTTAATAAGGTGCTGAGTAGAACAGGAGTTCAGGAGAAGTCGTAAGACACGGTCCCTTCAAGGAATCAATATTTCTCCTATGGATAGTTATAAGGGGGCTCTCAATCCTGTCGTGACATATGTGCACGGAAAAATAACGCTGGGGTCTTTAAAGAACGAAAATATTCCAGAGCACCAGTGCTCACTCGAATTGCCTTCTACCAGAATGGCACCAACAGATGTACCAATTAAGATTGATTTATAGCGCCCTCCAGCCCATTTCGAAAAGGGTGGACAGTTTGGCGTTAAAGTACTGGGCTAGATAGCAGTTGGTAGCCAGGAATGGGGAAGCGGACGGCGACCTTAACCCTAATCCTAACCTTAAACCTAAACTTAACCTTAAACGTTAACCGTTAACCCTAACGGCAACCTTAACCCTAACAGAAATCAGAAACGTAACCGTAGCCCTTAGATATAGACCTAAGTATAAAACCTTACCGTAATACTGAAACCCTAACCGTAACCCAAAAACCTAAGCCTTAAGGGCAAAACCCTAACCCGAAAATCGCGCACCATTAATCGGTACCCTACTCCTAACCTCAAACGTAAAAGGGAAGCTAAATGGGTCAGATGTGATTATGTAGTCCCACAAAAAAGCCCCAGTAAACAAACCCCCCAGCCATCTGTAATACGGGGCCTGGCTACTAACTGCGATCTTGCCAAATTCTGTTATTTTACGGAGACTGCCGGTGTAAGCTTAAAAAGACTTTAAGATCTGCGTTGGAGCATTGAAACAGTCAAGCTCGACAAACGTACTTTTTCGGCTTTTCCTCCTAAGACCTGTACAATAATGCTATTAATTTTCTGCAAAGCGGCAAAATTGATAACACACAATGAATAGTCTTCATGGATGTGGGGGCGAGAGACATTAAGACATACCAAAACCACGGGTGATTACGGCTTAGTTCAGCTAGAAGCACAAGGAGGGGGGAGAAAGTAATATGCCAGTGAAACATGCTCATGTTTCGTTGCCGTTACGCGATGTGGGCGGGTGCCGGAAAGAGTCTGAAGGACTTAACTTGTCC